CATCCGTTACCAAGAAGTGTGGACGTCTTGCACCAGCCCTCGACAAAAGATCCCTAAAGTTGATTTAACAAGCAGCAGTGCCGCTCCAAGACTCATCAATCACAAATCAGCTCCCACATCTCCAACTGCAGGCTTCGGCACAGTCCCAACTAAATCGCCTAACTTGTCTGAGATCAAATTTAATAGCTACAACAATGCCGGCATGCCCCCGTTTCCCATCATCATCCGTGATGAGCCTGCATATGCACGCAGCTCCAAAAAAGCAGTGAAAGTTCCCATTGTGATTAATCCCAGTGCGTACGATAACCTAGCTGTTTACAAGAGTTTCCTGGGGCTCAATGGTGAGCTGCCACATTCCAAGCCTGGGGCCGGAGAGCGAGTGGCCAGCCACACATATGAGGAGATTGGATCTTCCGAAAGTTCCCAGCCATCGCCGTCTGAGCAGACACCACCTCAGCTGAAGCACGCAACAGATGTAACTGCTCCTGGGGAACTGAGGACTACCACAATATCCAGACAGACTGTAAATGACAGCAAATTAAGGACTATGACAGGTGTCTCCGTCCTTCCTGTAGGTAGCCTGAGCCTTAGCCCTGCCGTTTTGGCACATAGCAGTCTGGATCGTATTCGTAACCCCAGCAGTGAGCAACCGACAGAGGGCAGCAAATATTGCCAGGTCACATCGAATGGAAGTTCAGGTCAGAGAGAGAAAGCAAGTGCTGTTCTGTCTCAAATTGTGGCCTCCATTCAGCCACCGCCTTCTCCTCCAGACTCCCCTGCAGGCCAGAGTAAGACGTGCAGTGCTGAGGAGCTTTACTCACTACCACCAGATGCTTCCAAAGATGCTCCTAACAGACCTAAATCACTCCACTGTTCTGCAGAACCTCAAAAAGACACACCACCTAAAGTCCTTCCTAAATCCCAGAGTGCCTCTGCTGCTGTACCACCCACAAGCCCCAAATCTGAACCTAGTGCCCCATTTCCCCCAGCCCGGTCTAGCTCCTCTCCTTACCACTCAAGCAACCTGCTTCAGAGGCATTTCAGCAACTGGACCAGACCAGCTGGGGCCAAACCTAGTGATGGAGAGACCAGTCCTGGTGCAGAGGCCAGACGTTCGACTGACAGTAACAAGCCCAAGCGCTGGATATCCTTCAAGAGTTTCTTCCGCCGGCGGAAGGATGAGGAGGAACAGAAAGAGAAAATGGAGCGAGAGAAGGAAAAAGGGAAGCTTCTGGGATTAGATGGCACCGTCATCACCGTACTGCCTCCTCCACCTCTACAGAGACAGCACTGGTTTTCAGAATCCAAGACGGATGACCCTCACCAGAAACCCACGATCATATTCACCTACAAATCAGAGAGCGTCACAGGTGGAGAGGAGGCGGAGATTCGGGTTGAGGAACACAAAGAAGGTGGCACATCAGAAGGTGGAGCGTCCTGCCTGTCGACTCCACCCAAGAGCAGAGCCAGTCTCCTCATTAGCAAAGTCATGAAGTAAGCTATCTTTCTCTCTCAATCCCCCCTCTTTCTCTTAGCTTTTTAATATAGAAACATATGATAAGGTCTTTCTTGTGTCCTTGTCTTGCTCTAAGTGCATGTTTTTATGCATGGCCTTTATTTTCATCCCAGATAAAATCCTGAGTATTTGAGACACCCTAGTGATAAATGGGTGCCCCAGAGGTAGCTTTTATAATGCCTGATCAATTTCACATAATCCTGTTGTAGCTAATGGCGTTTTATGCAGTCAAAGTACGTCAAAATTGAAAATAAAGAACAGTATATTTTTCTATAATTTGTTTGGGTTTTATACAACATATACCCTTTATCAAAATTATAGAATTTAAATGTTTTTATAATGACTATTAGGATTAACATATCAAAACACTTGCCAACCCTAACCTAACTGAAAAAAAAACTGAAAAAAAGTTTAACTTTAATTTTTTAATAGAAATTGAACATTTTTAACATTTGTTTGGAATAGCTAAATGGTAAAACTGCTTGATTGATTAGTTGAATATTTAAATGTGTGATCTATGGTGCATAGATGTTATATTTAACTTATTTTTAGCAGTAGTAGTACAAAAAGTAGTATCTTTTTTAACAAGGTGATATCCTAACTGTAATAAACTGCTTCCTGACTTGTTGGTCATATATGTGTGTGATCTGCTGTCGAGAAGGACCTTTGATCCTGATATGTCACAGTTGTGAGCTGATGAACAACCACAGGTAGATGTCTGTTAAGGGTTAATCATGTGGAGGAAGAAGCATTCATACTGAATGTTACAACAGAGAGAGGAGGAGTAAGAAAAACACAGAATCCAAGAGATTTGTCTATTAAGTCTTTGAAAGCAAGGAATTCCTATTTCTGATATAAACATTTACTGTTTCTGACTTTATCAAATGGGTGACTGTGTGAGCCAATATGGTGGGTAAGCATTACTTCCTCAAATTCCTTTAAACAGACCAACACTTTACTGAAGCTCTTAGCTAGATATTTGTTTCAGCTGGTATGTGTGTGTGTGTGCATGAGTGTGTTTGCAGAGTATTATCTGCCTAAGAGAAAAAGATACTTGAGACACGTTGGTTCAGGTTCTTATAACATGTTCAAACACTGAGATATCTAGATACTCTATCATTTTTTTTTAAAACACCTTTTTTTGGCTATATCTTCCCTTGTGTGTTTTCAATTTTTTTATTTTTTTTTGCACTGGTGTTTCATTGAAAGCATTAGGAATCTTATCTTTAGTTTTGAGAACACCTTCCATGTTATAGATTTTTGAGTGTGTCATAACTTAATGGAACAGAATGTTTTTATATGTCCAGACATGCTCTGCCTGCAGAAGATTCCTCCCATTTAGCGTTCTTGGATGGGTTATTTAGGAGAGTAAGTTTGGCACTGGGATACAGGAGGAATGGTTTGAAATCTAAGCAAAGGACAGTTGTATTTTGTGTTTGATTAGTAGTGCTACATGCTAATTAAAATTGAATCTTGAACTAAATTACTATCAGACAATTATTCATTATTAATCATTATTCATCCCATTATTTACTTACTTTAATTTTGTTCCAAACTTGTATTACATCATTTCTTCAGTTGACTCAAAAGTAGACATTTTGAAGTGTGACTTGAAGAGTGTTCACCTAAAAATTAAAAAAATGTTCATTCATTATTAATCATTATTCATCCCATTATTTACTTACTTTAATTTTGTTCCAAACTTGTATTACATCATTTCTTCAGTTGACTCAAAAGTAGACATTTTGAAGTGTGACTTGAAGAGTTAGTTCACCTAAAAATTTAAAAAATGTTTTTTAATTACTCACCCTCCCTCATATAGTTCAAAACCTGAAAGACCTTCGTTCACCTTCAGAACACAAATTAAGATATTTTTGATGAAATCCGAGAGCTTTCTGACCCTGCATAGACAGCAGTGCTACTACCACATTCAAGGTCCAGAAAAGTAGTAAGGACATCGTTAAAATAGTCCATGTTACCAGTAGTCTCGCATAGCCAGACTGATGGCTGAAGGTCTGGAATTCATGGCAGCTTTCATTGGCCAAGGCCCGCCCATGAGGCCGTTTGACCGGCATGTCAAACAACCAATCACAGTTCGTTTCATTTCAGCGTCACGCTTCAGGGCGTGGAAATGTCGCCACAATAACAGACCGGTGTGTAAAACTCTCGGACGTATTTTAAAGATTCTATGCCGCGAACAATGTCAACAATGTCCTTAACTACCTTTCTGGACCTTGAACGTTGTAGTTGCATTGCTGTCTATGCAGGGTCAGAAAGCTCTCAGATTTAATCTAAAATACCTTAATTTGTGTTCCGAGGATAAACAAAGGTTTAGGGGGGTTTGGAACTACATGAAGGTGAGTAATTAATGACAAGAAAGGTGCAAAAGCAACACAGAAGTATTGCAGAAGCGGCTTTTTGTGAAAAATGGATTGTTCATGATTTTTAACATATAAAAAGCAAGGATTTAGAAATTGGGGATGCAGGTTATTTTACAAAGCTAAATTTAAAACCTTCAGATTTTTTTACAGATATTTACTGATGCTCTCAACTCAAGAACTGCTGCGAACTGATTTTAAAGTCAGTGTTTTTGTGAAGTAGATCAACTAATTCGTTAACAAGATCTACAATTCCGAATAACTACTAACATTTTGGTCTGCTTATCACATAAAGTTATTATATGACTTCTTTTCACATAACACACACAAGTCATATGGATTTCTTTTGATACTTTTATAGTGCTTTTGAATCCGTTTTTAAGCTTCAATTGCATTGCTGTCTATGCAGGGTCAGAAAGCTCTCAGATTTCATCTAAAATACCTTAATTTGTGTTCCGAGGATAAACAAAGGTTTAGGGGGGTTTGGAACTACATGAAGGTGAGTAATTAATGACAAGAAAGGTGCAAAAGTATTGCAGAAGCGATCGTATTGTAGCTTTTTGTGAAAAATGGATTGTTCATGATTTTTAACATATAAAAAGCAAGGATTTAGAAATTGGGGATGCAGGTTATTTTACAAAGCTAAATTTAAAACCTTCAGATTTTTTTACAGATATTTACTGATGCTCTCAACTCAAGAACTGCTGCGAACTGATTTTAAAGTCAGTGTTTTTGTGAAGTAGATCAACTAATTCGTTAACAAGATCTACAATTCCGAATAACTACTAACATTTTGGTCTGCTTATCACATAAAGTTATTATATGACTTCTTTTCACATAACACACACAAGTCATATGGATTTCTTTTGATACTTTTATAGTGCTTTTGAATCCGTTTTTAAGCTTCAAAGCCCTAGTCAGCATTCAATGCAAATGCATGTAAAAGAGCGACCAGCACATATTTGGAAATATCTTAGTAAGTTGTACAGCTTTGGAACAAAATGAGGGTGAGAAAATGACAGAATTTTGGTTTTTGGATGAACTACCCCTTTAAAAAAAAGAGAGAGAGAGAATTAAGGTCTAAATTTAGCTTTGTAAAATAATCTGCATCCCCAGTTTCTAAATCCTTGTGGTTTAGGTTAGAAAACTTTGGGCTGGAATAATTCTCAACCGTTGTTTGTCTTTCTTTGATGCAGTCAGCTTCCAGTTCAGGATACTGAGATCTCCTCAGCCACCTCTCTTCCTGCTAAGCTGGAGCTGTCGCCCCTGCACGAGCCGCCTGCCTCCTGCCCGCCCCCAGCATCGCCCACCTCAAACAGCAGCAGGCAAGCAGAGCAAGAGAAAGAGGGAATCACTTACACCATCTCACACTCTCCTGCATCCAGCAGCTGCAGGGCCACTTACACCAACCTGGGTGAGTAAAACACACACGTTTGATGGGTCACTTTGTGTTTTTGTTTGGTCCATTTATGTGGGCCAGCGGTGTGAGTTTCTGACCTGATTTGGCCGGCTCATGCTGATATATTTAGATTGTCATGGCAGCAGCGCGTGCAAGAGCATTTCTAGACCAATAAATAAGATCACTTCTCTCAATCTCTCAATTTGAAGTCATTTAGCTGATTGAGTCTCTCTGAAGTTTGTGCTGTGAAAGGAGGTAGGGATCTGTCTCTTTCTTCGCTTTGCTTTGCTCTTTTTTTTAAGGCTTTTGGTTTTATTTGCATCAATTGTAGCACAGCGTAGTTTAAGTAGTTTTGCTAGCAGGAAATGTACATTGCAACACCACACATTATATTTATTATACAGTGGGGTCCAAAAATCATAAACGACTAGTGACCACTAATTATAATTGTTTTATTTAATATAAATTAGTTAATTATTTGTAATTATTATAAATTAATTGATTTACATTAATTCCTTTAATATCATAGAAATGTTCTAGAAACAGTGTAGAATCTAAAGTATTTCTTATTTTATGTATTAACTTTTCTTGTTTTAAAGTGTTTCAAAATTCTGAAACATTTGTTTATTTATGATTTTGAATTAGTTTAAATCTCAAATTTTTAATGTGATCTCACGTTTGAATGGCATGACAGAAATTCTCAGGTAAACATAAATTATATTTATGTTTCGGCTGAAAACTGATATGATGTAAATCTATATATTAATGTTTTTTTTGTGAGTGTTCACAGTAAAGCTCCTAAAAGATCTAGAATTTAAAATACTTTAGACATTAAAACGTTACAATGTAGAGAAAATATTCATGTTTGTAACCTGGCATAAAAATATACTGTTAAAACTGAAAAATAATCTACTTTTAATATTGATTAAAAACTAACAATATTAGAATATACCCTGCGAATAACCTCAAACGGTAGTTGTTTCCTAAACTACAGGTTGTCTATGTAATGTTTTTCCACATGTAAGGTTTAATAAGTAGATCAAATAAAATTGTCAAAACTGGCAGTAGTCGCTGGGTGGAAATCAGGGATTCAGTTTGTTGAGGACTTTAATGGCCACAGTTCTGAGAGACTGACAGATTATCAGACTCGGTCCGTCTGTTTTGAGCTGTGTGGCATTACACAGAATATGAAACAAGAATGATTTTTCAGCTGTCCTAAGAGAGCATGGATGCTGGTGGCTACTTCCTTCCCTCCTTATGTTGCAGAGTTGACCTCTGATATCTAAGCATATAACGTTGTTGCGCTGATGACTAGGGCTGTGTATCACCAGCAAAGTCACTATACAATGCGTATCACGATACAGAGGCCATGATACGGGACTGCATTGAATTTCACCTCAAAAGAGTTTAGTAAAACAGCTGTTTATTAAACACTGCATACTATAGTGCCATTTCTAACTATTGGCAGAGCAGGCAGTTGACCTCTGCATTATGAAGGGCCTCCATAACTGTACCACAGTACAATATAGGAAATGGCATATGTTTCATGTTTACATTGGGCACTCTCCACCAGGTACAATATTCTGATTGTTTGCATTTTGTTTTTATGCCCATAAATAATAATGTACTCGTTCTAATACATTTATATTGTAATGTACTCATTCTAATATATAAAAAAATCATATTTACATTGCTGGTAGGTTATCATTGCACAAATTAACACACTCTCTACATAAAAAAAAAAACTAAAAATTAGAAGAGTTCAAAACTAATGCGCTGTCTTCACTGAATCTAACACACGCACATGCTCAGTCAGATCACGTTGCGGCCGCACTCAGACATTCAAGAACAAACATTTTAGCGCTGCCCCGCAATTTTATCAACTAAATAGCTTAATCGCTCAAGAGCTACATTAACTTTCTCAACAAGGAGCTGGTAACATCATTGTTTCTAAAGGAATTAAAGCCACGGCTTCACTGTTAATAGAGAAACGCGGCAAAACGGTGGTAATTCATACATACACAGCCTCTCTCTCTCTCTCTCTCTCTCTCTCTCCTCTCTCTCTCATAAATGAACACTTGAATTACACTTTTCTGAGAATAGAATATTGAAGTGGAGATCGCAAAACTGCAAGCTAACCAGTGCTTTTCAGAAAGCAAGAGCGTTTATCCACAGTGGAGAGAGCGCACGTACACAGGGTTGCCAGGTTGACAAAGATAAGTATCACGCTTTGTTTTGGAAATGCAGATGTTTCCGCAAGTGGGAAACTCTGTTTTATGGATTATGTCTCTTTATATCAGGCAACCCCGGTTGTGTTCCTCTGCTGCCAGATTAAACATTGTTGTAGCCTATATATTATGCTCTATTCATTATTTTTTAGAAACCTTGCACTTTTCTACTCCGTTTTAAACATTGTTCTTGTATTCAAATTAAGCACGGCCCACTGCTGCACATGTGCCACAATATCGATACTGGGACAGCTGTCAAATCTCTGTGGCGATACATCGTCGTATCGATGTATCGAACACCGCACTACTGATGACTAAGTCTGATGAACCTCTGAACTGCGTAGCAGCACGGGTCTCCACGGGGTTAAAGTACCGCCTCTAATTTTGTCCCGCTGACTCTTTGATCATTTTATAGATGTGACCTACAAAAATCCCTGTCCTGGTGAAAGGGTCTCAGAGGAAGCCCCAGTCTGAGATTATTGGGAGATTAAAGCAGATTAGTGAGGAATGTTAGATGTGAAGTTTCACGCTGTTAAATAATTCCTAACTCGTATCCCACATCCCTGTGGACGGAGCGTGTGTGAATTGTTTTAAGACTGTTCATCCTGCAATTAGAGATATGGTAAAGGGAAACATGTAATGGAAATCCAATAATGCACCAGTTATGTTCTGGTCAAAATTTAATGTGTTCCCATGAGCTGTTTCAAAGCCATAATCCTCACTGAAATTCCTCATCTCTCACTCTACAGGTCAGTCCAGGGCCAACATGATCCCCGTAAAACATCCCAGACATCCTAAAACATCTGATGACACTTTAACCTCTGAACCAGAGGTCACCGAACCCACAACAAAATCCACCCCTCCACCCCTACCCAAAAAGTCAGTCCCACGTGCCCAAACAGAGCCATCCGCACTAGGTAGAGAACTCTCTGCCCCGCGACCCAAAGGAGAGGCCAGACCAGGCGGGACCAGTCTGAGCGTTGCCAATCCACTCTACGATCTCGAATCCACATGGGACACGGCCAGTCAGAGCTCCTCACTCAGCTCGGAGGCACGACATCCTGATGAATCGGGAGACTCTCTGGAGCGTCCCGTGGGTGGGCGGAGCCTGTCTTGCCTAACCAGTAGCAGCTCCATGCAGGCATGCGACCGCCGAGGCTACCGAAGTACAGAGAGTCTGACAGCCCGGACGCGAGGGGCTGGGAGACCCGCTAAAGCCCAGAAACAGGTGCCGTACAGAGGCATGGAGAGCTGGGAGGAAGTGGTCGGGAGGATCCGAGGCCTGCACATGGATACCCTTCGCAAGTTGGCAGCCAGATGTGAAGATAGATTTATGGCCGGACAAAAAGATCATCTGCGCTTTGGAACAGACAGCTGGTCTCATTTCCGGCTGACCGCGGGAAAACCCTGCTGCGAGGCAGGAGATGCTGTGTACTACACAGCATCTTTCGCTAAAGAACCTCTGACAAACTACGCCGTTAAGGTGAAAGTTCAGTCTTACACATATTTATTGATGCGTGTATATAGATGAGCCGAATAGGTGTCTACATGAGATCTTCTAAGGCAGAAATTCAAGTAATGGTCACTTGTGCAACTCACAATCATTGCTTCTTGCAAGGACAGGAGGAGTGATTCAATGAAGAGTTGATTCCAATAGAGTCTGATGGCAGCATGTTGTTAAGCTGATAGCTTGTTACTTAAAGGGGTCATGAACTGCCTCTGTTTTTTATTTATACTGTTCTCTGAGGTCCACTTATAATGTTATCATGATTTTTACATCAAAATAACAGAAGGTTAACAGAAGGTTCAAATGCTCACTGATGCTCCAGATGGAAAAATTATGCATTAAGAGCATTGAATTTGAAGATCAGGGTAAATTTAACTTATTTTGTCTTCTGGGAAACATGTAACTATCTTTTGTAGCCTCTGAAGGGAAGTACTAAGTGAAAAAATATGATATTTAGGCAAAATAAGAAAAATGTACACATCTCCATTCTGTTCAAAAGTCCACCCATCCCACCCCGCCCCGGTTTTTCCTTCTAGCGCATCAGTGAGCGTTTGAACCTTCTGTAATAGTTGCCTTTGAGTCCCTCAGTTGTCCTCAGTGTGAAAAGATGGATCTCAAAATCATACAGTCATTGCTGGAAAGGGTTCGAATACACAGAAATGCTGGAAAACCAATGAATTTGTGGGACCTGAAGGATTTTTCTGAAGAACAGCAGGCAGTTTAACTGTTCAGGACAAACAAGGGACTCATAAACAAAAAATCACTAAAAAAACAAAAACAAACAGCTGTGGATCATTCAGGTAACAACACAGTATTAAGAATCAAGGGGATGTAAACTTTTGAACGGGGTCATTTTTATAAATTCAACTATTATTTTCTCTTGTGGACTATATGTAAACATCTTATTCAGGTCAGTTCTAAATAAACAATAACACATGCATTTTGTATGATCCCTCTTATTTTGGTAAAATAATTAACATTTTGCAGATTCTGAAAGGGGGATCTAAACTTTTGACCTCAACTGTACATGTCAAAAGATCAAGGAAATTTTGGTTTCTCAGTTCATGACCCCTTTAATACAGATAGAGTTCATCACAATGCATTATGAAATTATCCACAAAGGATACATTCGGTGCTTTCTTGGCCATAATTGCTTGATACTTCAAAATGTTCCCTAGTTAGTCTTCTCAGATTTGTATGTATATAAAAAAATTTACATTCTCTTTCTGTCTGATCTCAGATCTGTCGGGGAGTGGTGAAGGAGACTCAGCAGCAGTTTTTTCACAGCCTAGCAGTTCGGCAGAGTATCGCTGTGCACTTCAACATCCAGCAGGACTGTGGGCACTTCCTGGCAGATGTTCCGGCCCGCCTGCTGCCCTGGGAGCGTGAGGAGGATGGAGAAGACAAGCAAGGTGGTACGGAAGGAGGAGAAGAGGGAAAAGGAAAGGAGGATGAGAGAGATGCGGCAGGTCCGGGCGGGAAACTCTGCAGCCGTGTTGTGGTGATCACTCGAGAGGTGCCATTCCAGACAGTAGCAGATTTCGTACGGGAGGGTGTAGAACGGCACGCGCGAAACTCTGAGCTGTACGAACGCCAGGTGTGTCTCCTACTGTTGCAGCTGTGTGCGGGACTAGAGCACATGAAACCCTACCACGTCACGCACTGTGACCTCCGGCTCGAGAACCTCCTCCTGGTGCACTGTCAGCCCGGGAACCCTTGGAACCTGGAGCTCATGGAACCGAACAACAACGCTGCATCCGGACCTTCCTCCGCCGCGGCTTCCGCTTGCCCCGCCCGGCTCATCATCAGCAACTTCTCTCAGGCCAAACTCAAGAACGTGGTGCTGGAACCCGCTTCACTCCGAGACCAGTCCCGTCTGGCACCTGAGCTCCTCACTGCCACTCAATACCGCAAGTGCGACGAATTTCAGACCGGGATACTGATCTATGAGATGCTGCATCGACCGAACCCATTCGAGGAATGTCCAGGGCTAAAGGAGAGGGAATACTGCAGCTCTGACTTGCCCCAGCTGCCCCTGCGATCCCTGTACTCCAATGGTCTTCAACAGCTCACCACGTTGCTGCTCAATCCCAACCCTTCCGAGCGCATCCAGATGGCGGATGCCCGGGCGTGTTTGCAGTGTCTGCTGTGGGGCCCCCGAGAGGATCTGTTCAATTCTTTGAACCCCGCCGCCGGAACAGTTCAGCGCCACACCGTCTTGCAGAACTGGCTGGACCTGAAGCGAACGCTTATGATGATCAAGTTCGCAGAGCGTTCTTTGGACACGGGCTGCGGCGTGAGTCTGGAGGACTGGTTGTGCTGTCAGTATCTGGCCTTCGCTACTACCGAATCTCTGAGCAGAGTGATCAAGATCCTGCAGCAGCCACAGGGCGTGCTTATTTGATCGCATCTGATCACGGCACGCTAATGAGGCTGGGACGTGTAGACGTGCGCTGTACAGACGTGTGATTTTATTCGAGGAAACCGTATCAACTTTGTTGGTGAATGTGTTTGGGTTTGGTTTACTTTTAATACCATGCAGAGAGTCTGAGCAAACCGTTTACAGGATGAAAAGTGACAAAGTGAAGTCATATTTAACTCCACAGATAATGGCACATTTATAGAGCTGCTTTTATAAACAAGTGAAACTGCATGATGTGTGAGTGTGTTGTGGGTTTTCTGCCGGTGTGTTTAGTTACGCTTTTCATTCTGCTGTAGGGACTCGTGTATATCAGCAGAAAACCACTGATCTGACATCAGCTGCATCATGATTTATGATTCCAGTAACTATTGGATAGCTATTATATAATCATCGTATATCAGAGTTTGTGCGAGGGGCGTCAAAATAAGGGTCCTCCAGTGGTCACATTAGGTCAGTGAATGAATGAGTCTAACATGCCTTACTTTATATGTGTCTGTGTGTATATATATATATATAGAGAGAGAGAGAGAGAGATTTATGGAAAGTGGCAAAAACATCATCTTTCATCAGTCATTTCACACAAATATGTTTTTATCCGATCCTGATATATCGTACAGATTAGTTCGAGAGTACAGATTGGATATTTTTCTACCACAACAAGAGCACTGTAAAGTTTACCAAAGACTAAATACTCTGAACCATAAAGATCAAAACATATTTTTACATTTTGCATAGTCAAAGAGTATGACTCTCCCTCTTAAAGAAGTGTCCTTATGTACCTAAAACAAATGCAGTTTAGTTCTTCAGCAGTACTTTGGCTCTCCAAAGTACACAGGAGCATTTCCAATCAGAGGGATTGGCACCAAACTCACTTTAATCAAACTAGAGTCGCACCAGATTCTGATCATAGCGTTTACACTTGCAGTAAAAGCTCTGAACTGCTTTTGAGACATATCAGGATGAATCTAACCCTGACCTGACCCGGATATCACTCTGCGGATGTATGTGCAATCATTAAAAGCAAGTGTTAACATTTGTTACAGTATTTTAGATATATTTAACGCACTTGATATTCTCAGCATGCAATTATTCTTTATCTTCCTGTTCCTGTTCGGCACATAATTGATGAGAATGCGAGCTTTGGGTTCAGACTCCCAGCGAGGCGTATGCAAGGATATTTGATTGTGTGTGTAGCATTAATATGAACCAGGGACAGCACATTCTTCAGCATTTTGTCCTTGTTGTAGTGTTATTTTGAGGTGCGTGTGTGTGTTTCAGGCAATGGCAGTATAGAGAAGAACTTCAGAGTGAAATGTGAGACACACACAAGCTGCATCCCAGTTTGCTTGCTTCTGCATACTACAGGTATGTATTTAAGTGGTGATGGGAAAATGCATACTTGTAGTATGTAGTACGCTAGTACTGCAATATATAATGTAATAAAATTAACACAATTTATGTAAACGTTAACATGTAGATCAATTTATTATTATTTTTACATATTTTTAAAACTGCTGTTGCAGCTTTGGCCTTGGAATTTATAATTATTCACTATTTCAACTCAAAAAGTTGATAAGGAACTGTTACAAGCTCCGCCTCTTCTGTAATGCAAGGGGATTGTGTGGGTAATATTGGCTCAAAAGGCCTCCGCAGAAAAAGTATATCATCCAGGCACCTTGAGGATGTTTTTTGACATGCTATGATTTGTGGAACACTAAACAAAATTTTGCATACTTGATAATATGGATAGTATGAAAATTGGGATGCAGATATTGTCACACCTCCCTGTTTCTATTTTTAGATTTACATATTCAGGTGAAAGAAAGGGATTGCTGAAAGGGATTTAATGATTCATAGTGCATGAGAAAGGGTTCATGTGAGGTCACTGCATAGTGTCTCTGTCAATCACAAACTAGGGCGGGACCATTGGTTTGCTCCCATCTTCCATTTCCAAAGCAGCAGTTACAGTTTCATCAATTCCATTAGAAAGAAACGGGAATAGTGTGTGTGTGTGTGTGAGAGAGAGAGAGAGAAAAAAATTGCGGTGCGTGTCACGCTGAATGTTTGTGGGTCACACCGTAGCAATATGTTGTATTGAATTGTATTTGTATATAATAATTTGAGTGTAGTTTAATTTCATTTTAGCAGTACAGGCACGATTCTGTCACAGAGAGAACTTGAGAGAGAGTGAAAGTATCAGCAGATGTCTGTAACCTGAAGAATGTGTGTGTTTTTGCTCACCCACCATCAATTTATCAGTTTCTTTCACATCATTTCACTGAAATCATGTAGTTACTGTTATTTACAAATGTTTATTGCCAGTGATGATTTCACAAAACTGCTTTTTACCTACAACTGCATATCTCCTGGTATTTAGCTCTACATTACCGAGTTAACTGCTCATAATAAAACTATGAATATGTTTTTAAACAAGACTTGTTTGTGTTTTATTAGAAACACTACTTTGTTGTTTTTATTAATAATACAATATTAAATATGAAATGGGGTCCTGGAAATAGCAGGCAACTTCACAAGTTAGATGTGAGCCAGGCAAAGTTATGAAAATTAACAAAATGTTAAAAGGTCATTAAAAAGTCAGAAATTATTGTAGTCCATAGACATTCAAGCTCACTTCTAAAGTGTTTCTTAGGCTGGGAATATTTTAATGCATTTTTTGGACATAGTGGTGTATTAGAGGTAAAAAAAAAATGATATAAATACTGTTCGTTTTCTGCCACAAACCGATCGTTTCGTGTCTTAGGACATCAATGTGTCGTCACAAGCCGCAGGGTTTAATTTGGATTTGTCTGTGCATGTTTTTTTTACTCATAGATTTTGTTACTATTGCCATGCATTATACGACTGATAGACTGCAACGGTTGGAGTTAAAAATCATCATTTGTGTTCTACTGATGAAACAAAGTCACCTACATCTTGGATGCCCTGGGGGTAAGCAGATAAACATCACATTTTCATTTTTGGGTGAACTATCCCTTTAATGGCATTAAAGCACATGCCATCAAGACATGGCTTTGTCATGCTTAAGTTTTTAGTTTAGGACCTTTAGAGGGCGCCATAAACCACACAAATCATCCCTGCTTACGCAATATGGCCCAACACTGTTATCTGTGATAGGGCCTGCTGTATGATTTCCTGATGTCTCAGCCTTTTTCAGATTCACAGAGTAAACAGACAACATTTTCATTTTTGGGTGAACTATCCCTTTAATGGCATTAAAGCACATGCCATCAAGACATGGCTTTGTCATGCTTAAGTTTTTAGTTTAGGACCTTTAGAGGGCGCCATAAACCACACAAATCATCCCTGCTTACGCAATATGGCCCAACACTGTGTTATCTGTGATAGGGCCTGCTGTATGATTTCCTGATGTCTCAGCCTTTTTCAGATTCACAGAGTAAACAGACACTACGCCTTCAAACTAATAACAATAGCGGGCATTAAAGCACATGCCATCAAGACATGGCTTTGTCATGCTTAAGTTTTTAGTTTAGGACCTTTAGAGGGCGCCATAAACCACACAAATCATCCCTGCTTACGCAATATGGCCCAACACTGTTATCTGTGATAGGGCCTGCTGTATGATTTCCTGATGTCTCAGCCTTTTTCAGATTCACAGAGTAAACAGACAATACGCCTTCAAACTAATAACAATAGCGCACAGAATTTTCATGTATCTGATAACATATTATTACACAACCAGCATCACGGTTCATTGTCTCTAATGAGTATCTTAGTTCTTAGTAGGAGTTCTTAGTAACCTCTTAGTATCTTCAGCACCTTATTATGATGTGAGAAATGGAAAGGAACACGATAAAGATTATGTGTGTGTTTGTTCCAACTGGATATGGAAGGATTATTGTGCGAGTCAGAGTATAATCCTGATAGTGTGTGTGTGTGTGTGTGTGTGTGTGTAAGCCTTTGTTGATTCACATGGGGACATTATGCTTCTGTTATTATGCACACGTGAAGCTTATTATCACGGTCTGACACTCTGCAACCGAGGAACAATACGCATACACACACATCCTTCAGCTCAGAGACACTACCAAAAATACAGGTAAGAAATTTTCATTTAATGTCCTGTAATCAATAATAATCTATGGATAAACCAATTTACAGTTACAATTGGTTGCATTCCAAATACTAGACTCAGCAAATTATAAATATGATTATATACGTAATGATTGTTCTGTCATTTAAATTAGTTAATTATGTAAAAAAATTTACTACAATAATTAAGCATCGTAATATTATTATATTATTACACAGTCAAATATTGTATATATTCTACATTATGTAAATTGAAGTTGAATTTTGTGTATTAACTTTTTATGTAATTTAAATTAGTTTAGTGATTTAAGTTTTTTTTATTACAAGGAAATAGTAGTAGTAGTATTACGATTTATATTACATTTAAAAAGGTCAAGACCTTTGAGGTGGGATAGCTATATTAATTTACTGTTCAAACAGTTCTAACACCTTATCTTATAGGTTAGTTTTATTTCCATTTTTTTATATTTATGTCAGGTTTATTATTATTATATAATTGTTAGCAATAAGAAATAAATTAAACCTAAATAGTAATATTTTAAAATAACAAAAACTAATAAAAATGACAAAAAAATTTAAAATTAAATTGGAAAACAAAAAAGCTATAAAAAAAAAAGCTAATTCAAATTCTAAATCAAAACTATAATAGTATTATAAATAATACTAGAATAATGCTTGTTTATGCTTAAAACACAGTCATGTGACAACAAAGGGTACCATTTTCATTGAATGTGCATCAGAAATACATATACATGGGTATAAATCAACTACAGAACTGCTCGGATACTGTTTTACAGATTATAGTATTGAGTTACCTAAACTATTTGTGCATGTCAGCAGAATGTGTAGTCTGGATGAGGTTCCATTTAAAGTTGCTCTGAACTTTGTGGAGATACAGTTGGGTCAGAAAGAGCCGGTCACAGCTCCTGAACTTACGATCCCAGACTGTGCTCAAATACTGCGTGATACAAAGGTCAGAATTTAATATATATATACTTATATTCATCATATACATTTTAAATTTTATGTTAAATGTATCTTTATTTATAACAATGTTCATATGATTTCCTGTTTGACAGTATTCATTTACTCTGGAGAAAAAGATCCTGGCTGCATGGGAAGAACAGCAGCGGAAGAACAGGAAAGCCAAAAAAACACCCCAGAGTGTGTGTCCCACCTGCCCGCCATATTGGCTGATGTTCACCAGCCCGCAGCAGAACCGCAGAGTGTGCCTCAGGAGCGCAGAATTATGGGAACTGGGCCCTCGCCCCCGCAGCTTAAGCCTCAGCTCTGCTGACTGGCGTAAGCTCCGCCCACTTCGGACGGTCCAGTTCCTCATTGCTGACACGGACTTCGAGGGTGGCTACGGTGAAGACAACGAGAGCTTGTCTGAGAATGATAATGTTTGTAGCAAAGAAAGACCAAAGAGTTCCGACCCACATTGCCCGTGGATTTCTGCCTGTCACACCCAGCGAGGCTCCACCACTCGCGCCGCCCCTTCTAGCATGTTCCACAAGGCCCGGCCAAGCTCCGCCTCCTCTGTAAAAGACATACGTAGGCCCATCCCCCCTGGCCTCAGCCAGACACCACAGGGCAGCCCTCACGGCTCCAGAGCCCCCCGCAGGAAACCCGCTGTAACGAGAACCAGCGGGCGACGAAACTCACACTCCCTCCTACAGCCGAGACCCTCGTCCGCAGGACCGCTGCCCTCCTCCAGGCCTCAGAAAACATCCTCACATGTAACACACACACTGTAAATCCATAGATCTTCTTCATAGGTCTTAATGAGATAGTTCACCAAAAAAGGAAAATTCTGTCATTAATTACTTACCCTCATGTCGTTCCAAACCTGTCAGACATTTGTTCATCTTCGGAACAAATTAAGATATTTCTGATGAATTCCAAGAGCTCTCTGACCCTCCCATAGACAGCAAGGATCCTTACACGATCAAGGTCCAGAAAGGTAGTAAGGACATCGTTAAAATAGTCCATGTGACATCAGTGGTTTAACCGTAATTTTACGAAGCTACGAGAATACTTTTTGTGTGCAAAGAAAATAAAAAGAATGACTTTATTCAACAATTAATCTCCTCCGTGTCACCCTGGAGTCATTTTGGAGAATATCCCATACGTAAACAATGAATGCAATGTATGATACGTTGTTTAATACCTTTATTGTTGTTTACTACCTATGTCCTTACTACCGTTCTGAGCCTTAATCGTGTCAGGATCCTTGCTGTCTATGGGAGGGTCAGAGAGCTCTCGGAATTCATCAGAAATATCTTAATTTGTGTTCCGAAGATGATCGAAAGTCGTACAGGTTTGGAACAACATGAGGGTGAGAAATTAATGACAGAATTTTCATTTTTGGGTGAACTATCCCTTTAATTTATGATTATTGATGAGCTGATTTTTTTGTTTTAGGGTGTGCGTCCGCGGACATCCGCAGGGCTACAGGACGCTCATGCAGATCTGCTGTGCGCTTTAAGTCAGGAAGAAAGGGATCTTCTTGAAGCTGTTACACAACACGGATACACACTGCACACTGCCATACTAGCACTGCAGAGGACAGGGCCAAAGAGTCCTGATCAGGTAACACTCACAACGTACACCACAGGGCAGCCCTCACGGCTCCAGAGCCCCCCGCAGGAAACCCGCTGTAACGAGAACCAGCGGGCGACGAAACTCACACTCCCTCCTACAGCCGAGACCCTCGTCCGCAGGACCGCTGCCCTCCTCCAGGCCTCAGAAAACATCCTCACATGTAACACACACACTGTAAATCCATAGATCTTCTTCATAGGTCTTAATGAGATAGTTCACCAAAAAAGGAAAATTCTGTCATTAATTACTTACCCTCATGTCGTTCCAAACCTGTCAGACATTTGTTCATCTTCGGAACAAATTAAGATATTTCTGATGAATTCCAAGAGCTCTCTGACCCTCCCATAGACAGCAAGGATCCTTACACGATCAAGGTCCAGAAAGGTAGTAAGGACATCGTTAAAATAGTCCATGTGACATCAGTGGTTTAACCGTAATTTTACGAAGCTACGAGAATACTTTTTGTGTGCAAAGAAAATAAAAAGAATGACTTTATTCAACAATTAATCTCCTCCGTGTCACCCTGGAGTCATTTTGGAGAATATCCCATACGTAAACAATGAATGCAATGTATGATACGTTGTTTAATACCTTTATTGTTGTTTACTACCTATGTCCTTACTACCGTTCTGAGCCTTAATCGTGTCAGGATCCTTGCTGTCTATGGGAGGGTCAGAGAGCTCTCGGAATTCATCAGAAATATCTTAATTTGTGTTCCGAAGATGATCGAAAGTCGTACAGGTTTGGAACAACATGAGGGTGAGAAATTAATGACAGAATTTTCATTTTTGGGTGAACTATCCCTTTAATTTATGATTATTGATGAGCTGATTTTTTTGTTTTAGGGTGTGCGTCCGCGGACATCCGCAGGGCTACAGGACGCTCATGCAGATCTGCTGTGCGCTTTAAGTCAGGAAGAAAGGGATCTTCTTGAAGCTGTTACACAACACGGATACACACTGCACACTGCCATACTAGCACTGCAGAGGACAGGGCCAAAGAGTCCTGATCAGGTAACACTCACAACGTACACACACACACACACACACACACACACACACACACATATATATATATATATATATATATATATATATATATACACTCTTTTTCTCACATATATATATATATATATATATATATATATATAAACATTCTGTTTCTCATTCTTTCTCGATCTCCAGATTTTGAGTTACCTGATGTCATGTGACCGTCTCTGTCGGCTGGGTTTTGAGAAGAATCAGGTGGAAGAAGCTTTGGAGATGTTCCAGAACTGTGAGACCAAGGTGAGACCCTTCAAAACTGCTTTAAGCGCTCCAAACACTCAATCGGCATCCAGTGCAAAAAACACTTCTCAAATCAGTGACTAATTAGCATTCAGTGGACAAAACATCCTTCAAATCAGCCTTTACCACACCAAACACTCAACCAGTCAGCATTCAGCGCACCAAACACCCCTCGAATCAGCATTTAGAACTCCAAACACTTAACTAAGTGGCATCCAGCGCACAGCAACCAGTGACCCTCAGTGGACAAACATACCTTAAATCAGCATTTAGCATGCTAAACACTCAACCAATCGGCATGCAGTCACCCCTCAAATCAGCAACCAATCAGCATCCAGTGCAAAAAACACTTCTCAAATGAGTGACCAACTGGCATTCAGTGGACAAACTGTTCCTCAAATTGTCAGCGCCAATAGCCTTGTGGGCAGCGCGCTGACATCACCATTGTGCTTCGGCCGTCCCAAGTTCGAGTCCCAGCTCATGGACCTTTCCCAATCCCATCATTGCTTCCTGTCTACAATACTGTCCTATCCTAATAAAAGGCAAACATGTCAAAAATAGCTCTAAAAAAACAATCCTCAAATCAGCATTTAGCATGCCAAACATTCAACCAGTGCAAAAATGTTTTCTCAAATTAGCAACCAACTGGCATCCAGCGCAAAAGAAATCTCAAATCAGCAACCAATTGGCATCCAGCGCACAAAACATCCCTCAAATCAGTAACCAATCGGCATCCAGTGTAAAATAAATCCTCATCAAATCGGCAACCAATTGGTTTTCAGTGAACAAAACATCCATCAAATCAGCATTTAGCATGCCAAACACTCAACCAATCGCTATCCAGCGCACAAAACACCTCTGGAATCAACATTTGATTCTCCAAACACTCAACTAGTTGGGATCAAGTGCACAAAATGTAAATGTATGTATGTTTATGTGTTTCGCTCAGGCTTCAGAGTTCCTGTTTCTGCTGGCTCAGTTCTGTGAGATGGGTTTCCAGCAGAGCACCATTAAAGAAGTTCTACTGGTGCATGAGAACCATAAAGAGAGAGCCCTGGAGGAGCTTATGACCCGCAGTGGCTGAGAACACACAAGAATCCACTGCTATGTGAACAAATGAGTTGCCACCTCCATGAGTGAAAAAACCCTCAACTCCATGAATAAATGTATAAATCTTCAGCTATATGAGCATATGAATTAGTCTTCATGTCTATTAATGCATTAATGAATCTCTATCTTCAGCTCCATAAATTAACGTATAAATACTTACAAATCCTTCAGAATGAATGTATCCTTTGCAGCTTTAATACTCCAGACACGTCTCTCAGTTTCTCATGCAGAAAAGGTCCTGCTTGTTGATTGATTTCAGTGTAATTATGTTTATTATATTGATGCCAGGTGATTAGCTGTAGATCTGACTTTTTCATGACAAAGATTAATCACCTATAGATGACAGAACTGTAGATCAGTTATCATGACAGAATAGAAATGTTTAACATATTTTGAAAAGAGCTGGGGACAGTTTGAATGACTTTAATTCAACACTGTTGTGACATTTATTATGCATCAGTTATTTAGTTTCAGGACTATTTCCAAATGTTTGATGTAATAAGAGGTGCAGATTTGCATAACCATCGTCAAACAGTATCACCACTTTTTAAACTCTTTAAAACTTTAGTTACACTCTATCGGTATTCAAGTTTTACTGGCATGTAGCATCAAAAGTCATGTAACAGAACAAAAAAAAAAATAAACCTCTGATCTCTGATTGGTTGCTATTGTTTGTTTTATTTGTTTCTGTCAGTCTGTTTCCCAGATACTGCTTGCTTGTATTTATGTATTTACAAACAACACATTTTTATATATATTAAAATTATTTTCTTCAACCAAAAAGAAACTCATCACATAGGCCTAACGTTGCTAGTGAAAAGTGACAGACAGTTATAAAAAAAAATAAACACCTTTAAAAATATATAATTCTATAGATTAAAAGAGACTTGACAAATAAAAAAAAAGAAAATCAAAAGTCATGTAACAGAACAAAAAAAAAAATAAACCTCTGATCTCTGATTGGTTGCTATTGTTTGTTTTATTTGTTTCTGTCAGTCTGTTTCCCAGATACTGCTTGCTTGTATTTATGTATTTACAAACAACACATTTTTATATATATTAAAATTATTTTCTTCAACCAAAAAGAAACTCATCACATAGGCCTAACGTTGCTAGTGAAAAGTGACAGACAGTTATAAAAAAAAAATAAACACCTTTAAAAATATATAATTCTATAGATTAAAAGAGACTTGACAAATAAAAAAAAATAACAATCAATCAATCAAAATGTAATTACTGGTGCTCTGCTGATTAATGGTTTCGAACGTCATGACTCATTCATAAGCACAGCCAGTTCAACTGGTCAGTCAGCTGGCTTGAATTGTCAGCCAATCAGTGCGCTTGAATAGTTTCTATGATGTCCGACAGCCTATCAGCGAGCAGGATGTGTGGTTGCCTAGCTTGGTCGCGACCAATCAGAGACCAGATGCGTTTCGGTGCGGCTTTTGAATTTTTAGGCAGACGTTTCGAGGCAGCCGTCGCATAGATCGTGAAATAAAGCGTACGATAAAGTTCAGAAGTGTTATATAGCGCTTAAATCTCATCGGAGATCTGCGGCGGAAGGACAGGATGAGGAAGAGGTAAGAGAAAGAGAGGGTTTGAAGGGTATAGTTTGTGTTTATGTGTAGATTAGCATATGTGTTGTTAGCTTCATGTATTTTGTAGTGAAAATAGTGTTTAGGTTGGTCAGTGGTCGATGTTTTCGTAATTTGTTTTAAAAAAAAAATTTTGATAAGCATTAGCACGTACGAATATTTATAAACAGCCATTTTCAACAAGCCATTTTCCAGTTTCATCAATTATAATCAATAATTCTGCTATTAATGGAACATAATGATCTTATTATTCAATAATACAGTCACAACTCAATAATGCTGCTCATTTATTAGTTCTGCTGATATATTTGTAATGGATACATTAATAAGTATAATTGTCAATAATGCTGTTGATTTGGTTATTCATAAGAAAAGGCTTGAAAAACACTAGCTCTTCTCACTGTTTAATTTGCAACTCAGTCTGACAGCAGAACACAAGCATGTATTCATTAAATATGAATGTGTGTCATTTCAGTGAAATCCACGCTGCAGAGTCTGTAGCATGTTTGGACAAGGCCCTTGGCGAGCTGAAGGACATCTGGGAGGAGATCGGGATCCCAGAAGACCAGAGGCTACAGCGAACGGACGCCGTTCACATGCACATCAAAGTCAGTCCAGGTCATCTGCGTTTCTCACTGACTGGAGAACGGAGACACAGATTCACTGTGAAATCTTTGTGATTGCAGAATCTGCTGGATATGATGATCGCAGAGGAGGAAGGGTTGAAGAAGCGCTTGCTGATCAGTATTGAGGCATGCAGAAAAGAGGTGACCAGCCTGTGTAGTGAGCTTCAGGTGCAGGAGTGTCAGGTGAGTCACTCTGATGCGAGACTTTTGGAGAACAGCATGATAACTGTGCTCTCTTACTTCTGGGTGTTTTGTCAAGCCGGCCAATCAGATTGGAGATTTTGTGTGTTTGGCAGGAGGAGGATGGTGTTACGATGCTGCAGCTGGAGAAGGATCTCCGTACGCAGGTCAAGATGATGCTGAAAGAGAAAAGTGCTCGTCAGAGCGAGCTGAAGTCTCTGATTCAGCAGGATCAAGATCTGTGCGACATCCTGTGTGATGACCTCTTCCCCATCCATCCCGAACGTGTGCCGTCACAACAGCAGCTGCAGAACTACAGACAACACATCAACACCCGCAACCAGGAGAGGGTAAAACACACTAACACGCTTACACACTTTCAGAGCTGTCTGTTTTTTTTAGTATGTGAAATAGTATTGACGTATTAAAGGGATAGTTCACCCAAAAATGAAAATTCTGTCATTAAGTACTCGCCCTCATGTCGTTTCAAACCCGTAAGACCTTTGTTCATCTTCGGAACACAAATTAAGATATTTTTGATGGAATCCGAGAGCTCTCTGACCCTCCATAGACAGCAAGGATCCTTAAGCGATCAAGGTCCAGAAACGTAGCAAGGACATCGGTAAAATAATTAATGTGACATCAGGGGTTCAACTGTAATTTTATGAAGCTACGAGAATACATTTTGTGCGCAAAGAAAACAAAAATAACGACTTTGTAATGTTGTTTCCGTTCAGTGGATGCTCTCCAAAATGGCGCCAGGGTGACGCATAAGAGACTAATTGTTAAATAAAGTCGTTATTTTTGTTTTCTTTGCGCACAAAAAGTATTTTCGTAGCTTTGTAAAATTACGGATGAACCCCTGATGTCACATGGATTAATTTACAGATCTCCTTGCTCCGTTTCTGGACCTTGATCGTGTAAGGATCCTTGCTGTCTATGGAGGGTCAGAGAGCTCTCGGAATTCATCAGAAATATCTTAATTTGTGTTCCGAAGATGAACGATGGTCTTACGGGTTTGGAACAACATGAGGGGAGTAATTAATGACAGAATTTTCATTTGTGGGTGAACTATCCCTTTAAGTTGACTATATCGGGAATGCATTTGGTTTAAAATTTTCAAATAATTCAATAATCAAGTTATATTAAAGTCACGGTTTATATATACATTACCGGTCAAAAGTCTGGAATAAATTTGTTTTTTAAAGAAGTCTCTTATGCTTGCTTACCAAGACTGCACTTATTTGATCAAAATTACAGTAAAAACAGTAATATTGTGCATTATTATTACAATTTAAAATAGCTGTTTTCTGTTTTAATTGTCATTACTCCAGTCTTCAGTGTCACATGATCCTTCAGAAATCATTCTATTATGCTGATTTGCTGCTCAAGAAACATTTATTGTGCTGCTCAATATTTTTGTAGAAACCGTGATGCACTACAATTCAAATGTTTGGGTTAAAACAAACAAAAAACAAAGAAAGAAATACTTTTATTCAGAAAGGATGCATCAAATTGATCAAAAGTGACAGACAAAGAACATTTATGATGTTACAAAAGATTTAAAATGAATGCTGATTTTTTGAGCTTTCTATTCATAAGAATTCTGGGGAAAAAATCTGTTTACAGTAAAAACTGTTGATAAGAACTGTTCGTTATAACTGAGCACCCATAATTGAGCAGCAAATCATATTAAAATGATTTCTGAAGGATCGTGTGACACTGAAGACTGGAGTAATGATGCTGAAAATACAGCTTTGCATCACAGGAAATTCAAATAGAAAAGTTATTTTAAATTGTAATAATATTTCACAATATTTCCATCTTTACTGTAGATTTGATCAAATAAATGCAGCCTTTCTGAGAGTGAGACAGTCTGAAATATTTCAGAATTTTGACAGCTGGTATATCCTGCATTCTTAAGTGAATAGTAAGGTAGTTTGCTTCTCTGAATATGAAAGTACATCCAGTTTGGTTACAGGAAGTGTGCTTGTGTGTGTTTACAGGAGCGCCGTCATGCTGAGTTTGTGGGAATGAAGCGTCAGATCACAGTGTTGATGGAGGATCTGGAACAGCATCCTGACACCTCCTTTGAGAAAGATGCTGTGTGTGAAGATGAAGATGCTTTCTGCCTTTCTGTGGAAAACCTCAGTGCACTCAAAGTGTTACTGCACCAGGTACACACACACTTCACACAGTTCTTTTTAGCTGTTCCATTTTATTTTTGGGTGTAACCCAAACACTGTCAGCTAAAATGAGAAACAAATTTTCCAGTAGGTGAAATGTCACTAGTTAATGGTGTGTGTGTGTTGTATTTCAGCTCGAGAGCCGTAAAGCTGAGAGTGGAGCGCTGTGTGGGTCCATCCGTGGTCGTATTGAGGAGCTGTGGGAGATGTTGCAGGTTCCTGAGGAAGAAAGAGAGAGTCTCATGCAAAACACGCGCACTAGCACAAAGAGTAGACTGAACACAGTAAGTACACTCACCTGTCACTAAAGTAGGTCACGTTGTTTCATCTTTCGCTTCTGCTGGAATTATAAACCATCCCTCACGCTGTCTTTCTCACTGTGTCACAGCTGCAGGCAGAGCTTCAGCGATTGGAGGAACTGAAAGAGAAAAACATTGAGCGTGTTATTCACACAATCCGATCAGAGATTGTCAAGTTTTGGGAGAAATGTTACTACAGCCCGGAGCAGAGACAAGCCTTCACTCCCTATCACAGTGGTATGCCAACAGCTAGTTTCTAGGCAAAATCCCAATTTGCATACTTTAGAGTACAAAAATGAACTACCGTGCTAGTTGTGGGAAAGTACAGAAGATTTTACTTTAAAATGTAGTTTTTGAGGGTATTATTAAAAGAATCGTTCACCCAAAAATGAATATTTGCTAAAAATGTACTCACCCTCAGGCCAACCAAGATGTAGATGAGTTTGTTTCTTCATCGGAACATATTTAGAGAACTGTAGCATTACATCACTTGTTCATCAATAGATCCTCAGCAGTGAATGGGTGCCGTCAGAATGACAGTCCAAACAGCTGATAAAAACATCCCAAAATAGTTTTTGATGGAGTCTTGAAGGATTTGTTTATTTGTTTGGACTCTCATTCTGACGGCACCCATTCACTGCAGAGGATCCATTGGTGAGCAAGTGATGTAATGCTGACCTAATCTGGCATGTTGATTAAAGATTTTATGTTAATTGTGATTGAGCAATAGTATTTAGAAATACACAGATTGGTTGATGTTTGATTTAGTTATTTTGTGCTGTTAGATGATCTGGATGAGGAGGTGTTGCGTGAACATGAGCTGGAGTTGGAGCGACTGAAGGAGGATTACGCCAAGCACAGGGAGCTGTACGACGCCGTTTCCACCTGGAGCAGCAACTGGACTCTCTATCAGGAACTGGAGGTGATAATTCAGAGGAGATCAGCTGAAAAGTTTCATAAGAAACATTAAAGATTTTGTGAATTTGAGACTTATTACGGTTGGTCTTCTTTCTCCAGAAAAAAGCCACAGACCCCTCTCGCTTTAACAACAGAGGAGGAAACCTGCTGAAGGAGGAGAAACAGAGAGTCGACCTGCAGAAGAGTTTGCCGAAGGTTTGAGACGCTCTTTAGGCAGACTCTGATGTTTGATCGCCTGGCGATACAAATTAGCTTGTATGCTAATTTGTTTATATTTTGTGTGATTGGCCAGCTGGAGAAGAGTCTGAAGGCTCAGATTGACCAATGGGAAGCGGCGCACTGTAAAGAGTTTCGTGTGAACGGGCAACTGTTCCTGCAATATGTGGAAGACCAGTGGGATCAACACCGCATGGAGAAAGAGAGAGAAAAACAGGAACGGGTATGAGCACATTCTTCTTGAAATGACTACTTCTGACTAATTAATTTTATTTTGACTATTAGTTCCTGATATGAGGTTTGTATTGTGCAGCAAATGAAGAAAATGAAGCAGACGGAGGAAGATCTACTATACGGCACCACCATCAGAACCCCAACCAAGCGGAGACTCGCCGGAACCCCGACACCTGGAAAAACACGCAAGGTACTGACTGCATACGTGTGCTAATTATCAACCAATATTAATTAATCAATGCCCTGATGCCAATATTAATACCAGGGAAGCTAAAACCAGATATAACCGATAAAATATAACAGTATAATTTTATAATGATAGTAAATGTACACAAAAATTGCTTAAATTGAATATTTATACTAATAAAATCATTCTAAATAATTTTTTTATATGTAGTTTCTTTTTTAGTTTTTACAATTTTTTTGTTTTGTTAAAAATGTAAGTAATGCACATTTTGTAATAAATACATATGTCTTTGTGTATATTTTAGTTTACAAAATGTGCATTATACGTATGCATGCACATGTTTTTCAAATGAATTATTTAATGCAATAATATCATTTTATGTATGCATTATAAATGTAAAGATCCATTTTAATATAAGGGCAAATTGGCGAAAATTGCTAATTTAATAATTTATATATATATTTTTAATGTAATGTTTTTTTAAATATGAATTAAAATTCCATTTTAAAATATTAACTACATAATAATGACTACTGAAAGCAGAAAATTATGTATTGTCAATAGATTTAACACAAAACGGGAAACTAAAACTATTGATCAAACTCTCAATCAGATGTGCTGATATTTATTATTTTTAAAAAAAACTGTATTCTTTTTAAGCTGATCTCCACCTCTAGCATGTGTAACTCCACCCCCAACACGACGCTCCGTTCCATATGCTCCTCCCCTTCTATGAGACCGCCCCTTTCCTCCAGCAAGGTGAGTTATGCTTTAAGCACTACATATTTTACATGAATTTGTAGTATAATCAATAAAACTGGGAACTGTGTTTCTCTGCTAGTTGGGTGCGCGGACACCTGGCCGTGGCCGAACCCCTCGTGGGCTGGAGAGGAATAAGGAGAATATCTCCCATCTTAGCGGAGCTTTGCGCACAATGGCCGCCAGCCCTCAAAGATACTACTCCATCACATCCGTGGCCTCCTCCTACTCTGAATTTGCGGTAAGTTCATTATCCTGCAGTTAGCCGTCTAGACACACAGGCAGCAGATGAAATCAAGTGACCTCCGTGTGCTTATTCTGCCTTCTGTTATAGAAGGACTCTGAATCCACTGCAGCGTCCAGGTCTGTATATCTAACAACATTCACTGTCCATCACACTAACACACACTCTTCTCGTCTAACCCGACTAACGGAGGAGGGTCTGTGTTTGTGTGTGTGCGCTTTCAGCTTCTAACAGTGAAATGAGAACAAACGAACACCACGACTAAAATACAATCTGCTGTTTTTAAAGACCCTATGAAATCAAAATTGGAGAAAAGTGGTGAAATGGCGAAGAAAACATCAACCTTGTAGTTTTAAAGGGACAGTTCACCTAAAATGTAATTAATTTCACCCAAATTAAAAATTGTCATTTACTCACTCCCTTAAGTTGTTCCAAACCTGTTTAAATTTCTTGAAATGTCTTTGTGTTGAACACACACACACAAAAAGATATTATGAAGAATGTTAGTAACTAAACAGTTGCTCGTAGCCATTGACTTCAGTATTTTTTTTTCCTGTACTATGGAAGTCAATGGCTAACCCGCAACTGTGTAGTAGTTATCAACATTCTTCAAAATATCTTTTGTTTTCAACAGAAGAAAGAAACTTGTACAGGTTTGAAACAACTTGAGGGTGGGTAAACGATGGCCGAATTTAAATTTTTGGGTGAACTATCCCTTTAAGACAGCTAAAAGATGCATAAACCTGAAGGATTGTGGACTGTCTAATGGAAATATGGCTTCATATTCATATATTTGTGTTTTTGCCTACAGCGGGAGCTCTCAAATTCTTCTAAATCCAACGTCAAGGCTGGAGTTCTGAACTCTACCATCACACACTGAACTCCGTAGCTCAAAGATGGACTGATGGGCATCATTGAAGACAAAAAAAGCTTTTATTGAGATACTGAATGTAAATCATTTTGATTTTGTTGAAGAATTGTAAATAATTTACCTCTGCTTTTTAGTATATTTCTCATGACTTTATTTCCCTTTATTTAATTTTCCTTTTATGTCTTTGAGCTTGGCTTCACAAGTTTTTATGAAAACTCCATTAACACTGATCTTAGGCCTCCGAGATGGATTTTATCTTTTATACTCTAAAATCACGATGCCATTTTTGCCTTTATTTTCTGTAATTGCACAACACTAAGTTTACCTGGCATCACTCCTCTGGAAAAATAGCTGCTACTGTGGTGGTTGGCATCCTGTAAATAAATGTTTGTTTTCATGGGGACATTTTGGATTGGAGAAGTGATTTATTTATTAGGCTGGATGAGAATAAATACTGGATTTATTTATATTAGTAAATGGTATTATTCAAAACGTATACCTGAACAATAAACTTAAGTAGCTGTTGAACTTACGATACATAGCAAAAAAATAAAAATGGCAGGTTGTATCCCTTGTACCTCACCAATCAAGGACAACTTATGAAACGCTGTGCAAAAACAGTGTTATGGTGCAAACTGGTATTTGTTAGCATATTATTTTAACTTATTGTAATCACAAATACACTACTTTATAGCGCAAATAGTTTTACGGTCTACTGCACCTTGTTGAAAAAAAGATTATGTAGGTGTTGTTATTTATGTTTAAAAAAAACATACTGGTAAAAAATGTATAGTAGCTTTGGATAAATGCATAAATTATTATATTATTATTAAATTATGGCCACTTGGGGGCGTGAGATATTCCGGTACTATGGTACTACCATATATTTTTCGTAGTACCATGGTGTTCTTTGAAGTAAGCCATCTATCTATCTATCAGATTAAATAAATCAGAGGCCCAACTACACAAATTAGAACATTTTTGCAAACAAAATACCAGTATCATATAAAATGATGGTGGAGTGCTAAAACAGAAGTGTTCTCAGGACTCATTTGTTTATTTACATACATGCAAGCTGTATTTTATCCATTTAATTGAAGTATTTGTAATGTTTTCGATATTTTTGTATTGTGACGCATTTGCTGTCTTGGTTTGTTTGCTGATCAAATATAATAGGCTGTTTAATTTCATGGTCCGCTGTGACAACTTACCCCATATAGTGCCACTGTTGGGGCATGTTGTCACAAAAGCACAAAGCTTTATTGAACGTGAATGTATCTGGAAATGGAAATGTTCGATAGCATGCTGCAGCCAAGACGTCAGTGTGCCTAAATCAACCCAGAGAAATATTCAGTGTGACAACTAGCCTCTTTATTCGTCTGTGTGTGTGCGTCCGTGTGAGTGTGTGTGTTGGTGCTGAAGTTGCATTGCAGGGGTGGGACTCCTGCATTCAGATCTTCATCACGCGCAGAGGAAAACCCAGACTCACTTCAGATCGGATCTAAACGCGCGCCAGAAGCGATCGGGTCCTGCACGTGCGTCTGATGCTGTAATGCGCGTTAATTGATGGATGAAAGTGTGCGCGAGCAGGAGCGGGCGAAACAGACACTGCTGAAGGTAAGAGCACACATAAGCGCTCATAATATGCCGCTCATATTTCACGTGCATATGCTGCAAATGTCGCGAGTTTATCCTACGTTATGAATATATATGCATATGATTTCATACAGTGATTTATTAGTATGCAATATGCATTTCAGACATGCATAATTATTGTCATGTGTTTTCTGCCTGTTGGTTTTTGTTTGGTGTGGAACTGAACTGGAAGTTCAGGCCCGTTCACGTGCTGATGCAGTGCGCGTGCCCGCGGTTCGGGTGGTTGCCATGGTGATCGTGATTGGACCCTCCTCTGATGGGGGGCATTCATTTAACACCCAAGGGTCAAATAAAACAGCTGGGAAATGGATACACTGTGTGTGTGTGTTAGTTTTATGTATATTTGGAGAGTTTTCTGCACTGCTAATGCGTTGTGTATGTCAGTTATTGAGCTTTGTGGTTGTTTATATTATGTGTCAGTTGTTCTGGTAGGGTTGTAACCCCCAAACCCTCCCCTCCTCCGGGTGGTCTTTCTCCAGAGAGGTGTCTTGCTCCTGCAGGCAGCATCTCTCGTCGCTTGTGTTTCAGTGAAAGTGTTATTAGGAGTCATTCTGGAGATTAAAAGCACGCTTGATTTATTAGCGTTTGCTCCCGTCAGTCCTGCGTGAGAGAAGCTGACAGTGCAGACTTGAGCCCCTCCAGCCGCTCCTGATCACGGCCCCTATTTAAGCATCTTGATTAGCTCTTGTGATTTAGTTTGGCTCGGTTCGGGGCTCCTGGAACATCAGCGCTTGTCGGCGGAGAGGCTTTTAGAAGAAAATCAATCTGTTTTCAAGGGTTAATCAGTTGAGATGCTTTTTCCAGTATTTTAACTTTGAGTTTAGGGTTTCATGGAAGATACAGATCTTTAAAGGGATATTTCAACCCCCCTTCAATACATTTTTTATTAAATTCTTTTCAGACACAAAATAGAGATTTTATGCAAAATGTCTAACTAAATGCTTATTTTAAATTGGTCTTTTAGTCACTATTCATTATTATTTATTAACTATTAATTCTGTTTAGCCTATTATATAGGCTAATTAGCCTATTTAAAAAAAATCTACTTTCTGTAAACCTTATATTATTAAAATGCATTTTTACATTTCTAATACATATATATTTTATCTAGAAAATTGTAATTCAATTACCATATTAAAAATGTGATAAATGTAAAAAATGTAATAAAAATGACACACACAATTAAATAATATTAAATAATAATATAAATAGTATAAAATAATAACATATAAATGAATTAGTATGTTTTTTTAGTAAATAAAGGCAAAATGAAGACTGGAAATATACTAAATTAAAAATATGAATAAATACTATAATAGTATATAAACATTAAAATAACTGCATGAATTGGAGTAAATAATGACAGAACTTTGATTTTTTTTTTGGCTGAACCTATCCGTTAAACATATACCTTTCTGACATGATATATTATATTTGATTAAAAAAATAAATAAATTAGCATACTGTGTGTATACATACATACATATATATACACTGAACAAAATTATAAACACAACACTTTTGTTTTTGCCCCCATTTGTCATGAGCTGAACTCAAAGATCTAAGACTTTTTCTATGTACACAAAAGGCCTATTTCTCTCAAATATTGTTCACAAATCTGTCTAAATCTGTGTTAGTGAGCACTTCTCCTTTGCCGAGATAATCCATCCACCTCACAGGTGTGGCATATCAAGATGCTGATTAGACTGCATGATTATTGCACAGGTGTGCCTTAGGCTGGCCACAATAAAAGGCCACTCTAAAATGTGCATGTTCAGCTCATGAAAAATGGGGGCAAAAACAAAAGTGTTGCGTTTATAATTTTGTTCAGTGTGTGTATATATATATATATGGCAACTAATTGAAATAAGCTTATAAATTGAAGGATGAAAACTACTGAAAATGACAAATTGGCTAAAAAAAAAAAAATTTCGAATAAAAATGACACTCACTAAACAAAATAACAATCTTAATTTAAAATTCAAATTAAAACAAAAAATTACAAATATATAGTGTATAAACAATAGCCTACTAAGATAAAGAATACCAAAATAACTGCATGAGGCTGAGTAAATAATGACAGAAATGTAATTTTTGGCTGAACTATTGCTTTAAACCTGAACCTTTAGGTCTGTTAAGACTTTAACCTCTACGCAACCACTTCAATCTTATTTCACTAATGGCATCATAAACAGCAAGAGAAGCGATCGACCTAAAAGGAAACAAACCAAAAGGAACTGAAGAAAGCATGCAGGCTTGGGATTTCTGCTCCATGATTCATTGTTTATCAAGATGACGGTTTACAGCTCACAAGTCAATGTGCCATTTGGGAAATTATTTTGGGATACTGGCTCCAGCGTCCAGACGGTATCACCGATCCAAGAGTGTGTGTGTGTCCATCTGTGCTCCTGCAGTCATTACAGACTGAGCGTGGGCCGTAACACAGAGCTGCTGCTGATATTCCTGACAGAACGCCTTCAACACATATTCATTTCACAGCAGACATGTGAAACCCATAATGCCCCGAGTCAGCGCTCATAACCCTGCGGCTGTGAACCCGTGAGCGCTGTGAGAGCGTCTCAGAAGCTTTAATTGGCCCGTTGTCATAATCTTCTACAGAAGTCTTCTCTCTGCTCCCGCTGCTCCCTTCATCTGATTACCCACAAGTCTCGGCGTGACTCACAGCATACACGCCTCTCACTTTCTCTCTCTTTTTAGACCTAACTTCACTTTTTTTCCCTGTCTGAAGTTTTCTCTCGGGAAAGATCGGATTGGTTATGACTTATAACAGTTAACCATGGTGACCATAGATTCTGCCAAAAATACCATAGTAACTAAATACTAATTAAAATGTAGACATGTACCATGTCTTTTGGGCATTTACCATAGTAATACACAGAACATTTTAGAAAAAAAATTACAAAATGTGATCTATCAATAAAAAAATATAAATTATTATAATAAATGTCTGAATAGAATAGAGTAAAATAGACTATAGTATTCATTTAAAATTATATATACTAATTAATTCATATTAATCTTGTTTAATTCAAATGTAAATGTTTTATTAATTAATATGAAATATTATGTATAATAATTTACAATTCATAGATATTCTAATAATGATTAGAATAGAACATGAAAAGTATGAAGATAAAGCCATGTACCATGGTAAAAACCATGTTTTTTATTGGTTTTATATATGTGCCGTCAATACCATGGTATTTTGTATATGTACCATGGTAATACTATAGTATTTTAATGTTATTTGGATGTGATCCATGATAATGACATGTTTTTCTGGACAATTATTTGCATGCACCATCACAACACCACATTTTGTACCATTTATTTTGCACCCATGGTAATGCCATGGTATTTTTGTATATGTACCATGGTAATACTATGATATTTTAATGTTATTTGGATGTGGGCCATGTTAATACCATGTTTTTCTGGACATTTAATTACATGCACCATGGCGGCACAACAATTTTATTATGTTTTTTTTTTTACCATGGTAATACCATACTATACTATGGTATTTGAATGTTATTTTGATAAGTGTCACGAAAATATCATGTTTTCTGGCCTTTTTTTTTTGCATGTACTGTGATGCTACCATGTTTTTACCATGGTATTTCTTTATTTGCACAATGGGAATACCATAGTATTCTTTCAAGAATTGTGTACCATGAATATGTTTAGAATTCAAAGGTACCGTGGTCTTACTATGTGAACCCATTATTTTACCACAGTATATTACTTGTAAGGCACTG